TGGGATAACCGACTCCGGTCGGTGTGTAGTGCCGCTTTCTACATCAGTCTTTTGTGCTTCTCAAATTTTCTGTAACTTCTTTTCAGAAGCTGACTTATTATAATTGATAAAGTTCTTATTCCCTCAATAAGCACGAAATTTTGTGTTTCAGCTTGATCCATTGTCACTCTTGATGATGCATCAGCAGTGGTTTGAGTTTACCTTGGCACATAGACTGTGTTGAATCAACGTGAGCCTAAAATGCCTGGATACATATTGGCATTTTCATTGTGATATAATGGTGAGATTTAAGTATTTATGTATTTAGTTTTGTTTGTTGTTTGGTTTCTGGGAATTGTAATGTAAACATATTAATATGTCTGTGTGTTTAAGAGTAAACAATTAGCCTTTAATAGCCTACAAACCACATCATTCCAAGGAAGAGGAATTTATTCAGAGTTCCAAGGGAATTGCCCAGAGGGCTAAGGGGATTATTTTCCAGATTCTGATTGTCTTTTTCAGTCTGTGCTGGGAAGATGTTGGAGGGTGAAGTATGTATCAAGCTCTGGGGTGCTGACATGTCTTTCGCTGTGGAACACGTGCTCAGCAGCATTCGGAGTAAAGGGGTTTAAAGTAATGAAATTGTCTGAGAATAAGAAGTTATTATCAATGGCAGACCAGGTTGCTGGCATGTAGTTGTTTGAAAAATAGTGAGGATCTTGAAGATTTTCTTTAAAAAGGGAAGAAAATGAATTGAAGCTGCATCTGGGATTGATTTGCACTGGACAGAAACTAAAATCAGGAGCATGATAATCGTAAAAAAAAAAGTTATCCACCATTCCAGCAGAGGAATTGAAAGTTTAATTACTTAAAACTCAAAGTCTTGATAAAGAAAAGTGTCTTCCTCCCTTGTAAATGAGATGGACTGGATCTTGCTAGAGATTGCGGAGGCAATGGCCAAGTAGTATTATCATGGGAGTGTTAATTCAGAGACCTAGGTAATGCCCTGAGGACCTGGGTTTGAATCAAATTTGGGATGGGCAATAAATGCTGCCCAGCCAGCGATGCCCTCATCCCCTGAATGAATAAAGAACAAAGAAAATTGAGCACTTGATGTTCTTAGAATTGTAATAGTCTCTGTAAGCTGCCCTGAAGTGTATTTAATCCAATACGAAGCTGTTGTCTGTGTCCAATACATCAGAGTGCTGGAGTTATTTCTACTGTGTGCTTAAAAATCTTTGAATCTTGGTTATAGACTAGGTACATTCCAGTCACTCATTCTTTTCATGTCAACCAGGACTCCCTGATTGGATCATATTAACAGACCCAATCAGGGAACTCATATTCTATGAGGTCCACCTGGGTGACTTTGTTACAATCACTGCATCCCTCCCTGTCTGAATCCACGGACATAGGCTGGTCCTTGTTCTTGGAGAGTCTCCGGAGGCATTTTCGCACAGGGTCAAGTTCTTCCAACTCAGCATCCAACACAGGGCTCACCTTGTGCGCCAGCAGGGACTTGGTGGAATTTCATTCTCTCTTCTTTCGGCGCAAAGACATCAAGGCAGCTACTTCTGTTTGTCCATCTCTGATTCAGAGGCCTCAACAATGTGAGGGTGAATCCATGGGTTCTGACAGCATTTTCCAAAGGTTCCCACGGGCTGGACATGTTTTGCTCCTGCACTGCTTGCTGATTCATGGCTTTTATGTGGTCCACCTGCTTACACCATCTTGAACCTAATACACTACCGTTCCTGTCCTCGCTTTGACCATGCCTCTGACCGATGTGAGGCTATTTACACGATTCTTACACCAAACTTCATCCCCTGTATCAAACTGTCTCTCTCACTCGGCAGAGTCTTGGATCCAGCAGTGGAGTTCCTGATGCCATTTCACCCTCCCTCCCCATGTCCAGGAAGATCAAACTCTACCTGGTACAGAGTCTTCTGTCCATTAGCAGCTCTGCCAGTGATATCCCTGTAGTTGCATGTCGGGGTGGGGTGGGGGGCTCATTGGTCCTATAATCAAACAGGAACTGGGACAGTTTGGTATCTAGTGAGGCTGTAGGCTGCTTCTTCAAGCCAGCCTTCAAAGTTTGGACTGCGCTTTCTGCCAGGCCATTGGTTGATGCACGGCATGAAGCTGTCCATACATGTTGAATCCCACACAATTTTAAGAAATATCCAAATTCCCTGCTGGTAAAAAATGGCTAGATATCTGTAACCAACACTTCCAGGACTCCCTGTGTTGCAAAAGATGCGCATAGGTTTTCTATCTTCATCCCAGTGTTTGATGAATGGACTCTATGCACGTCCAACCACTTTCAGTGGGTTCCTCTCATGACTATGAAGCCTGAACTCATGAAAGGACTCGCAGAGTTGATGTGTATGTGAGACCAAAGTTTACCTGGCCATTCCCACTGATGTGGGGGAGTTGCTGCTGGTAATGTTTTTTCCTTGTTGACACTCTGGCCATTGGCCCACCGCTGTGTCCAAACCTGGCCACTAGACATAGCTTCTCACCAGCATCTCCTGGATGGCCCTGGTGGAGTTCACTTACTTACATGACCACAACTTCTGCTTAGGACAATCATTCTCGCTCTCCATAACAATATGCCATCCTATACCATGAGGAGTTGGTCTTTTCACATCCAAAAAGTTTCAATTCTAGTTGTGCCCGCCCTTTAGTTTCCCCCATCAATACCAGTTGTTTCAGTTTGGAAAAGACTGGATCTTTCTCCGTCCAGAGTGCGATATATTTAGCCATGACTGGGAAGGTGTCCGGAAAATTTAATGTCATTTCAGACTCTTCCATTAGGGGGTACCACCAGTGGTATGTCTGCTAGTGGGAGGCAGTTGAATGCATCTGCATTCGCCACCCAGCCTCCGGACGGTGTTCTATCTTGTAATTGTAAACACTGCGTATCAGAGCCCATCACTGTCTTGTTCTCTTTAAGCAGACCAAGTAGGGGTTTGTGGTCTGTCATCATCACAAATTACCATCCATAAAGCTATTGGTGAAATCTCCTGACTCCAAGTATGACCGCTCATCCTTCTCTTTCTATCTGGGTGTATTTACACTCTGCATTAGCCAATATCCTGGATGCATAAACTATTGGGTGTTCCTGTCCGTTGGACCGAATGAGCTAACACCAACCTGGTGCCAAATGGGGAAGCATCACATGTGGATAGAAGATCTTTCTTGGGATCATAGTGTGCCAACACCTGAGAAGATGATAGCTGCTACTTTTCTTCATTGAGAGCTAAGCTTGTCTCTGAGACAGTTTCCAAGGCTGACCTTTTTTTTAGGAGTTGATGCAAAGGTGCTAGGATGGATACCAAGTTATGTATGAACTTTTCATAATAATTTACCAGTGCAAAAATTACCTGAGCTCACCTTTGATTGCACTCATTTCATCTTCCAATGGGTATAACTCAGTCTTGTCAACAGTGTACCTCAAGTAGGTCACTTGGTGTACCTGGAACACAAATTTTCCCTTCTTAGGAATACGCCTGCCTTAGAAAATCACTTTCGGACGAAACCAAGT